GGTTTTTCCAGCACCACTTATTGAAAAGGCTATTTTTTCTCCATTGAATTGTCCTTGGTCAAAGATCGAGTGATTATACTCGTGTGTGTGTGTTTCTGGGTGCTCTCTTCTGTTGCATTGATCTATTTGTCTATTTTGTCACTACCACACTGTCTTAATTTCTGTAGCTTTAGAGTAAATCTTAACGCAATACCCTGTCAGTCCCATGAGAAGGATATCATGCTTGGTAAAAAGGGGACGACCTTGAATGAGATGGATTGTGTCCTCGTCGCAGCAGTGGGCTCCAGCATGGCAGTGACCCTGAGGATGGCACAGGACCTGGCAGTGCTGCGTTCTGTTGTGCGTCAGGTTGCTGAGTGACAACCGACTCAGCGTGACCCAACAACCACACTCTTATTCTGGTCCTAGCTATGGTTTCTTCTCCTGGACTTCTGCTCTGGTATGAGTCTCTGTATCTGCCTGTGTGTCCCCCAGTTTTAGAGGCAGCAGCTTGCCCTGTGACCTCAATTCTCTGCATTCAGTATGTTTAGTTTGTTGTTGTTGAGTACAGGAGTGACAACTTCCAAAATCATTGTGTATTGGACCAGAAATTGAAAGACTCAGTTTGGGTTTTGTATCTTTACTATCATCCTTATTTCCATATTACTTTCTTTATACTCGTTATTTAAGCTACTTTTATTTCTCCAATATCCCAAATTTATATATTTAGCTCAATGTGAATGACTTCCCTCGGAGAATGAGCAATTTGCATTTTCTTTCCTGGGAATGACAGTGAGCTGTTTGACTGTTCTTCCACGTCCACACATTGGGACGTGTTCAGGTTAAAGAGCATGTGAAATCTGTATGAGTGTTTGCAACGTCATCCCAGTCTGCTTACGAGTTTCAGCATTCTTTTCCTTTATTCCACCAGGCTTCACTAGCTATGTGTTCTGAAATACTTTGCTGTTCCCTGTACTAGTTTGATAAAGAAAAAGACGCTTATCCTACTCCCTGATGATCCCCTTACTGTGCTGCATTTTCCACAGAGCTTACTGCCACTTGACATTATATTCTATTGTTTGTTTATTTTCTACCAAAAACCAAAACCAAACTCACTGCCATTGAGTCATATCCGACTCATAGTGACCCCTCCTTGGGTTTCTAAGACAGTATCATTATGGAAATAGATCGCCCAACCTTCCTTCTGAGGAGTGGCTGGTGGGTTTGAACTGCCAGCCTTTTGGTTAGAGGTCAGGTGCCTTAGGCACTATGCTACCAGAGCTCCTTTATTTTCTACACCCAAAGAATTTATGATCCAAGTGCATCTGGATATTTGTTTTATTCATTTCTACATCTCTTCTGCCCACGTGAACTAGGCTCTGCATCACTATTGCCTAAATGAATATTAATAAATGAAGAAGCCAGAGATAAGGACCTGAAAGGAAGCTGTCTTGCCTGAGACACAGGGCTTTGCAGGAGAAGTATGCTCCAGGTGTCTGAATTAAATAGGATGTTTCATTTGCCACCTCTCCTTGGTACCCAGCAGGGCTCTAAAGCATCCATGATGTTAGAAGACAGTAACAACAAAACAATGTATATGAACAGAAATGTCAGGAATTTAGGCCTCAAAGACAAATTGACCTGCATTCTGACCCTGGCTCAGCAACCTTCTAACTGGGCAACACTGAGAATGAGATTAATTAGATTGTCTTCAACTTTTCTCAGCTGTTGTAATAATATCTGCTTACCCCAAAAAACCAGACCCACTGTCCCTGAGTCGATTCTGACTCTTAGCAACCCTATGGGACAAAGTAGAATTGCTGCTCCATAATCTCCAAGGCTATAAATCTTTACCGAAGCAGACTGCCTGATCATTCTCCTTTGGAGTGGGTGGTGGATTCAAACCACTAACTTTCAGTTAGCAGCCAATGCTTTAACCACTGTGCTACCAGAGCTCCTTTTAATATCTGCCTAGGAGGGTCATAAAAGGAGCCCTAGTGGCATAGAGGTCAAGGCGCTCAGTTGCCAACCAGAAGGTCATTGGTTTGAATCTACTAGTTACCAGGTTTTAGAGAAGCAAAACTAGTGAAGCTTGGAGATAAATTTATCTCAAGAAACTGGCTTACACATTTATAGAGGCTGGCAAGTCCCAAGTCTGTGGGTCAGACGTCAAGCTGGAGGCTTCTGACACAACGCACATAGCTGCAGGGGTGGATGAATCCAAGATTAGCAGGCTGCTGTCTTCAGAGGATGACGAATCCAAAATTGGCAGGTAAAATGGCAGATTGTTGTTTCATAGGCTGCAAAGGTAACAATCCTAAGGTCAGAAAGCAATATGTTAGGCCACAGGTTCAGGTCTAGGAACTGCGGGAGATGATCATGAGCTGGATGCAGGATCAAGATCCAGGCAGAAACCTGAGGATTTTCCCAAGACATCCATATGTGTATTGGAAGCAGGCCACACCCCTGAGGAAATTCCCTTTCAGTGATTGGCTGTTCATATTACATCTCATCATGGAGGTGATTGCATTATGTCAGATCTTGCCACGGGGCATTGCTACATCATAATGCTAAAACCACTGAGAACCATGGTTCACCCATGTGACACACAATCTTAACTATCACAAGTTCGAGCCTACTGTCTGCTCCCTGGGAGAAAAATGTAGCAGTCTGCTTCCAATAAGATTTATAGCCTTAGAAACCCTGTGGGATAGTTCTTCCCTTTCCTGTCGGGTTACTGTGAGTTGGAATTGATGGCAGTGAGTTTGGTCTTAAAGTTTTTAGAGTAGAGCCATTATGAAATAAAAATGATCTGGTGTGTGAAGTTGTTTGCAAAACCTTTCACCTAAATTTTCTCATGCTTTAAAATATGCAGCCTGGCCCACTGCAGTGGAAGAGACTTGAATGTTGGCTCTGGATGGAAGATTGTTGTGACATCATCCCAAGCCTACCCTGACAATAATAAAAAAAAAAAAAAACTCACTGCCATCGAGTCAAATCCAACTCACAGTGACCCCTTCTTGGGTTTCCGAGGCGGAATCTTTACGGAAGTAGATTGCCCAGTCTTCCTCCCGAGGAATGGCTGGTGGGTTTGAACCACCAGCCTTCTGGACAGCTGTTTTGCAGTTCTGCTTGGTGATCATTACTAAGTGTGACCCCCTTTTCTCTCCTTACTGCATGGAGAGGCCAGTGGATTGAGGATGTTTCCCAGAGACCACGCCTGTGGCCCAGGGGACTCTGGTAACCAGAGTGCGGGCAGTCATGCTTGTGTATGTTCCAGGGCTGCAAATGTGAGAAAATTTTGCAGTGAGGCCTCTAGGGGGCTGATGTGTAAGTCTCTGGTTCCTAGGAATCACCGGCATTTTAACAGCTAAATCCTCTGTATTTCAATTAACTTACTTACAAATTAATTAATGTACTTACAAAATGGGAATCTTCTTTTTTTCAGGCAGCAAATACAAGTGCATGCTTTTTATCATGGTTCTTAGAGAGAGAGGGCTTTTTGTCATCTCGTAGCATTAGAATGTGTTTTGGTAGGTCTCTGAATGTGTGTTATGGAAGGGAGCACTCACTGACAATTGGTGTACAGTACCATTGGGTATGGAGAGTTTGACAGTTGTGGAGAACTGTGAACTCTCATGCTGCTTTTGTCTGAATTGAGCCTGCTCAGCTTTTTAGCACCTAGCCTGTTTCCATATACAGGACAGAGAGCATGATAATGTATAAAGATTCCTAATTCTTGAAAAGAATATTTTCTTTCCCGCAGATGGTACTGTCACCTCCTGATCATCTGGGGGTTTGCAAGAACATACACTCAGATCAGGGCCTTGCGTTGCCAGTGTGTTTGTGTGGACCCCTGGGCCTCACGGGGTGAGGGGCAGAAAGAAAAGCTGCCAGTCCCCAGTGCTTGCCAGTTGTAAATATCTCATTCTGCTTTCACTCTTTGCTTCATGTATTACTGAGTGTTCTAGTGAGTCTTTTTGAAAGAGGTGGAATTCTTTTTTTTTTACCAGGAAGTGATGGTCTAAATGCCAAAATAATGCTTTCATTTGTGGAGCCTTTCTCTAATTACTGCTGTTCCGTCCATAAAGATAGATTGGTCACGAGCAAATGTGGAGAGAGAATTTCATGGTGTTGGGAGTATTGGCATCACTGCCATCAGTGAGGAAGTGTATGTAGACAGTGAAGGGAAGAGACTGATAGCTAATCCCTGGAGAAGACCCCGGTAGAACATAGACCTGTGTCAAATCCCCTGAATTCTCAAATTTCCCGGGACTGTCAGCCTCACCCTTATTTTTGTACACATTGGAGTACATGGTACCTCGCTGATCCAAAATATGTGGGATGGTTTAGGACATAGTTGCCATTGAAGATGTGGCTGTGGACTTCACCCAGGAAGAGTGGGCTTTGCTGGATCTTGCTCAGAGGAAACTCTACATAGATGTGATGATGGAGACCTTCAGAAACTTGGCCTCAGTAGGTAAGAATGGCATCCTTTTTCCAATTTGCTCCTTCAGTGGACAGGCATCATCATCAGCCCTGTGCCAGTGTGGCTGAGGAGTGGAAATACACTGACAAATAACGCAGACATGGTCATCTGCTCTGTGGAGCTTAACATATTCTGATTTCCTCATAAAAGTCTCTGTATTAAAATCACTGTATTTCTCTTGTGATTAAAAGCCATGGGGCACTTTTAAGTGTTGTAAGTGTGAGAATTGGCTCCATGGAACATTTAGGCACAAAGAGATGTGTGTTTGGGACCTTGTGAATTGTTTTACTGTGTTTATTATGAGTCTGACATGATTATTTTGCTGCAGATAAACTCACCTCTCATCTCAGGAGACTCTGAGGGCCAAAGTATTGGCTCAGTATAAATGAAATGTTTATTGGTCTCCACTGTTGTTTCCCATGATATGTCTTTCTCCATGAGGCCTGTGTCAGCTGCACAGATTTGTTCTCCCAGATAAGCAAGAGAAGAACCTGAGGAGAGTAAAGATAGGACTTAGTCAGGGCCACTGTATCGGGGAGCAGCAGGAGGTGAAAAGTGCCAGAGGACTAGCCCTGTATCGAGGGAATTAGATATGTCAGTTAGAAAAGATGTCTTTTGGGTGAGGAGAAAGAACATCACAGACACCTGTGCTTGCTTTTGTGATTGTCCTCAATCTCCTCACACCTGTGTTCATGGAGAAAGATCTTCCCTTGTCCTCGTTTAGGTACATTGTACATTTTCATGTTACATGTGCCTTCATGTATCTCCTAGTAAATTACTTTCTGACTATTGCCAGACTTCCACAGGCCTCACATGCCTTCTTTGCTCACAGCTGTCTTTTTCTTCCTAACACTTCTTTTTTTGTTTCATATTTTGAACCTGAACTTCAATCATTGTGTCAGTTTCTCAAGACCTTAATGACAGAAAAAAATTATCTAGTGAACATATTACATTGGAAATCACAAAGAAAAGCGCCTGGTTCTCCATGTTAGGAGAAATCGACGAAACGCATGGCATTAAAGATCAGCACAGAAACCCGGGGAGACGTTTAAGGTGAGTGTCATTCACGCAAGAGAGAGCAGTGTCTCAGGAGATAGTCTTAAGGTATCAGGACATTAAAATTAGACAGATGGGTATATAAGGTAGGCAGGTAGGTACGTAGGTAGATAATCTAGCTCTAAAATTGTATATTCAGAGAATTTTTACATTATAATATTTTCAGAAATGTGAATCAGATACTGAGTATTTAAAACATATTTCACTTGTACACAATTATCAGAAAGTCTCATATTTTAGAAATGCTGTGGTAGCATCTCTACTAGATAATTTAACCTGTGAAGCATGAGTCAACTCAGGGTAAAAAACATACTCCCCGTCCACTGTGTGTGTAATGGTGGAATAGTAGCAGATTTGTTCCCAATAGCGTGTTACCCTTTTTTATTTTAACAGAAGGCATGTGGTGGAGAAGCTCTGTGAGAGTAACAGAAACAGTCACTGTGGAAAAACCTTCAGCCAGGTGCCGGCTCTTTCTATGCTCAAAACAACTACTTCTGGATTAAATCTTTCTGAATGCTGCGAGTATGGAAAGGCCTTCATGCACAGTTCATCACTTAAGCATCCTATCAGATCTCACACTGGATACAGTGCCTATCAGTGTAAGGAATATGGAGAAGCCTGCAGTTGTCCCTCTTACCAGAGCCCCCCTGTGAGAACTCTTACTGGAGAGAAACCCTGTGAATGTGACAAAGATCTCTATTGCTTCTCATCCTCTAGAACATATGTGCGAGGCCATAAGCATGAATATAAAGGAGGTCAGAAAACCTGTTCCTCAAATATCACTTTACGTCAAAGAGTTCACAGCAGAAAGCGGTCTTATGAATGTCAAGAATGTTTAAAAGTCTTTAGTTGTGCTGCGTCCCTCACTGAACACTTAAGTAATCACACTGGAGAGAAACCTTTTAAACGTACAGAATTTGAAAAATCTTGTAGTCAGTCCCTGAGCCGGACTAATCAAATAAGAACTCATAGTGGAGAGAGGTTATATGAATGTAAGCAGTGTGGGAAAGCCTTTAGGCAGTCATCACACCTCACTAGACATATAAGAGTTCACACTGGAGAGAAGCCTTTTGAATGTAAGGAATGTGGAAAATCCTTCAATCAGTCCTCATCTCTCATTAAACACAAAAGAACTCACAGTGGAGAGATGCCATTTGAATGTAAGGAATGTGGGAGAGTCTTCAATCGCTCTGCATCTCTCACAGTACATAAAAGAACTCACAGTGGAGAGAAGCCTTACGAGTGTAAAGAATGTGGGAAAGCCTTTACTCGGTCCTCAAACCTCACTAAACATATAAGAACTCACACTGGAGATAAGCCTTACGAATGTAAGGAATGTGGGAAAGCCTTTACTTGTTCCACATCCCTCACTAAACATTTAAGAATTCACACTGGAGAGAGGCCTTATGAATGTAATGAATGTGGGAAATACTTCCGTTATTCCTTTTCCCTTACTACACATAAAAGGTTGCACAGTGGATTTACAATGACAAAAATGAAGAAGGGTAGCTGTTGAGGTTGCTTATGTACAACCAGACACCTCATGGCATTTGGTTCCTTAGTTTGGAGATTTACAGTCATTGTTTCATGAGACATCCCAGTTAATTGGCCTCATGAGGTGCTTCTCTTCTACTTCGTAGTTTGATGTGTAGTACTTGGGGTTTTAAAAGCTTGCAAGTGGCCATCCGAGGCACAACAGTTGGTCTCTGTTACCTAGAGAGCAACAGGGGAAGGGGAGTCAGAATAGGAGGAAATGGAATGTGTGGTCGTTGCCTCCATGAATAACTGCCTCCTTTCCCATGAAACCAGGAGAACTGGATGGTCTCCACTACCATTACTGAACATTCTGGTCAAAGATCCGTAGAAGAATCCTAACCAAAAGTGGCAACATGCAGAACAGAATTTTAAATTCTCCTGGACTCTAGATTTTCTGAGCTGTAGAGGGTAAATGAACTCCTGAAACTATTGCCCTGAGGTAGTGTTTAAGTCTTAAACCAAAAATATCCCCTGAAGTCTTGAAACCAAATGATAATTTAGCTTAACTATTGAAAAAAGGCCACTGCTTTATCCCCCTGTGCATGGATTTCAATTTTGTATTTTTTTAAATGGAAACATTAAAGTGGTAAATATCACTCCACAAATCACCGTTTGTTTGCATTTCGGTTCATTTACATACAAATTATGTTAGAAAGTCTCATCAACACATATGTTTTCATTTGTGTGTTATTTTTATCTACTATGTTAAGTATTAATATTTTTTCAGAGCATAAAGCAGTGTGTTCTCATTGTAGAAAATTTGGTTTTAAATTAAAAATGTATGGAAAAGCAAACATCACTTAAGAATTACACAACACTTGCTATTTTGATCATTTCCTTTTTGTCTTCCTTATGTGAAAAACGGTATTTTTAATTGAATCAGGATTGTAACTCTATGTTTATAGTGTTGGAGTGGACATGTTTTCTATTGCATCTCACTGATCCATCCCCCTGCCCACCCCACCCCCCCAGTCAGGATCCCTGATTTACTGATGAGGAAACTGCGTGGAAAGTTTTAACCCAAAATCAACCCATAGAAGTACCACTCTCTCAAAAGTATGAAAAGCTGGGCTTGCATGGAAGGGTGGCTCATTCTGAGCCCACACAGGCAGCCCAGCCTGACATTGCTGCAGTGGAGCTTCTGTCCTGCACAGGCACAGAGCCTGTTCTTAGTGACAGAGCCCTGGTTTTGGTAATTCTGACAATTCAAGAGTATACACCTGGGCTGGGCTGGCATAGTGGCTGCTGCACACCTGGTGAGCATACCCACCGTAGGGCCTGGAGAGGATGAGAGTCCAAAGTTCCTGTATTAGTGAGGAAAGACAAGCAGCTGTTGGTGGTGGAGGTTTATCCAGCACCACCCTGCCCCATGGGAATTGCCTCACTGGCTCCTGTAAAGTGACTACAGGTAGAAGAAGCCCTCAAATCAGACCTTCCCTTGACCCAGCAATTCTTGTAGACTCACCCTATGTAGTGAGTTCAGTAAATCCCTGGCCACACATCAGAATACTGAACTGCCACTAAAGTATTATTTCCAGAAAAGTTTGAACTACAGGACGGGCAATCTTAGCATAATGTTGTGTGAAAGCAGGGTATAAAATAGTATGTACATGATGACAGTCTGTATGCATTTCTACATTTAGACACGTTTCCTATTTATAAATATCTACAATCTAGGTTGTAGAGGCAATCCATCACAGAACATTAACAGGGATTCTTCTCCGAAGGTGAGATTATGATAAATTTCTCATTTTGCTTCTAATTTTCACATTCAGTGTTAATTGATTATAAACATTTTTAACCTTATTTTTAAAATTTATAAACAGTAATTAACTTTGGAAATGTTGAGTTATGTGAGGTGAAGAATGCATTAGTCTGGTAGTCTGTAACACAGTTGTACAGAACATTATTGTACTTCCCAAAAAACCTCCCTTAGGCTGCCCCTTCTTAGGCAAACCTTGTCTTGAGAATTCCTGGCAACTGTTAACTGTATCTGTCATTCACTATTTGGGTTTTTTAGTCAATAAAGTTTATTTTTCTTACATATCCCTGAGATTGGGATTAGTGTCATATGGTACGTGTATGTTTCATTTTATAAGAAACTGCCAGTCAGGTTTTTAAAAGAGCTGTGACATTTTATATTCTGTTCAACCAAACAAACAAAAAAAAAAACTCACTGCCATCGAGTCATAGCGACCCCTCCTTGAATTTCTGAGGCAGTATCTCTATGGAAATAGATTGCCTGATCTTCCTTCTGAGGAGTGGCTGGTGGGTTTGAACCACCAGCCTTCTGGTTAGCAATCAAATGCCTTAGGCACTATGCTACCATAATTCCAGGTGCTTCTGAGCTCTGGAGTAGCTGCTTTCTGAAGGAAGCTAGCACACTTCTGTTTTGTCAGGGAAGGACATTCAGGTGGCTCATCTGACAGGTGGCTCTGCATCTGGTGATAGGAAGGGGTGGCCTGAAGCCATCTCAGACCACAGGCCTCTGTTTATGGGGCTCCTGGCTATGCCACTGCTCCTGCCTATTCTGAGCCCACATCCCACTCAGCTCTTTTGCAGAATGAAAATAACAATTCTCAAGTCCCAGCCACAGGAAGTGGCCACTGCTTCTCATCACCATAATTCCTGAAGCCCAGGCCCTACTCTGTGCTTGTGCAGAATCTGGAAGTAGATGCATCCAAGCTAGAAGGCAGTTGGAAGTGAGTCCGCTTCCTCATCACTGCCTCCATGAAGGAGGGAAGTTTTCTCTTCGTAGGAGGCAGAGTCAGCATGTCACCACGTAGGAGGAGGGTCCAAAAGTGGTGATGCAGGGTCCTGATCCCTAGTCCTTAACCAGTTCCTGGTTGCACCGACCTCAGTGGATGCTCAGGGGCTATTGCCCTCCACCAAGAGCTCAACTCTTTCTGCCCACAGCCACTTAGCTAACAGTTCATCCAAAACTGCTGGAATCAGGAGAGCAGCCCTGGGCTCGGATCCCCAAGAGTAGGTGTGTTGGGAAATGAAGACAGTGCTTTTTCATCTGCTGCGCTCCATCCTCCCAAAGCAAAATTTGTGTCCTTTCTCCTGAAGGAAAAACCATGTCTCCCTTTTGTGTCAAGGAGGCTCTGGCCCCAGCCTTGTCCTGTCCTCTTGGACCTGGTGATTTTGGTATATTCCAGTGAAAATTGGAGGTAATCTTTGTGGCTTTAGTTATTGTTTGTTGAAGTTGCATAAATTATGTTCATGTGGCAAGAGAAACTTTTTCAGGTTTTAGGAAGCCTGTGTATCTAATTGTAGGGGAAAAGGCTTTTGCGAGGCCAAATATGGCTATGGTCTTGCTGTTAGCTTATTTCTGCTTGCCAAATCAGTCCTGTGTAACACTTGCTGGGGTGGCCTTAGAGGTCCAGGGCCCTGGCACAGAGCCACCTTTGTTAGCCAGAGCCATAAAAACACCTGCCACCCTCTGGGGGCCGTGGAAACTCAAGTCTGCCCTGCGGCCACCCAGGGTGTTGCCTTGTATGTAAGCCCTTAATGTTGTTATTGTTGTTATGTGCCATCAAGTCGGACCCAACTCATAGCAACCCCTCCTTGGGTTTCCAAGGCAGTATCACTACGGAAGTAGATTGCCCCATCTTCCTTCTGAGGAGTGGCTGGTGGGTTTGAACCGCCAGCCTCCTGGTTAGCAGTCAAGTGCCTTAGGCACTACGCTACCAGAGCTCCTAAGCCCTTAATAAACTCCTGTATTACCATCCTGGAGCTTCCAGCCTCATTCTTCAGTCCCTCAGCCCTCTCCCTGTTTGGAGGCAAATTTAGTACTGATCTGGGACCAGAGAGTTGATGGGTCAACAAGGAGACCAAAGACATGATTGATAAGGGAGAGGCATCCATTGGGGGAATCCCAGGGCCAGCGACTTCCTATGTGGGGAGGTCTGCCCCAACCACTGCATGAGTAGGGGACACCGCAGAGGTTCCAAGTGGCACAACATGGTTATGAGTGTTAGACAGAAACATGGTTGGCCAGGCGGGTGAATGTTTTAAGCTGGAGGGCATTATAAGAACTGGTCAAGCAAGGAGGCGTCTGACCAGAGCCCATACCAGACCCCAGCACGTAGCCCTTGCTTACGAAAGACCCCAGCACCTGACTCCTACTCACGAAAGCCCCCAACCATTTCCTGTCCATTATGTTAATGAAGTGCTTCAACTCTGCTTCCTACCCCCATGCTAATGGGGTACTTTAACCTTATTGGTCCCTGTAACACATACCCTGCTCTCACTCCGGTCCTCTAAGAACCAGGAAGAAAATCACTATAAAAAACCCTTTCTTTCACCTGGGCAGCGCAACTTCTCTGGCCCCTCTCAGGGACCCGTGAACCTCTCCTGGGAGTGCAGAATAAAAACTTCTCTTTAACCCCACTTTTGTGCATCCTCTTCTCCTTACTGCAACCTTACAGTGAGAAAGTGCACGTGAAAGCACTGCGGGAGGAACTACAGTTGGAAAGGGAGGTGCGGCAGTCATGTGTGAGGCCACAGCTGATGTTTGGACTATCCACTTCCATGAGCAGAGTTAGCAACTAGATTTATGAAAATGGAGGTGGAAAAGGAAGGGGCTCAGGGAGAGTGAGCGACAAGCTGCAACGTGAGTGAGGAAGCCCAACCACCAGCCCATTGCCACTGCGGCCGTAAGCTGGAGCCCTGACCAGGGCTTGGCATGTTGCCCCAAGCCTTCTCTCTTGCTCAGACCATGAGGCCAGCAACAATGGACAGAGGAAGAGTGAGGAGGAGGCAGCAGACTGGGCAAACTCCCATGTATGAGGCGTGCGGGGAAGCCACCCACCCATCCCCTTTGCCTTCCTATCTCTCCCCTCCTCTGCTTCCCCCCTTGCTCACAGAGTAGCAATGTTGGTCCCTGCAGCCAAAGTCAGTAAAAAGCTCAACTCCACCAGGATGGGGCTACATAGTGAATTCTTTGCAGAACCTACACACAGCTCACAGCTTGGA